ACATAACTGAATGCACACACTCATAACTGCGTCACACATGATAGTCAGCAGTGGAAAACAGTTCACATGCCTCTCAGCGTGTGAGTGGCTGGACCCACTGCTGGTGTCGCATGAGGGTGGAATGCCGAACCCACTCCGAATCGAAAGCCACGCCGCACACACACGCTGCCGTGGAGATGAGTCTGCAAACCACCACGCCAAGGGAAATTAGGCCAGCACAGGGGCGCCTGTATGATTTTGTTTATCAGACATTTTTAAAAAGGCAAAACTGTTCCTGTCGACAGCTAGCTGATTGTTAATGGGAAAGAGGAGCAGAGGACATTAGACACTGAGCTGCATGAACTGTGGAGCAGGAGCCCCTCTGCTTCACCAGGAAGCTGCAGCTTCACACCCCCAGGGACTAACCCTCCTCCTTCCCCCTCTGGGACCAGGTTGCTGGGGGCACCGGGGATGAGTCTGGATCATAGAGGCTGTCATTCTAACTTGGGGATGTAAACCTATCAAAAGTCCTGAAAGCTTGGGAAGCTGATTGGTTCCCTTAGAAAAGCATCTGGCCCACCCCAAACCCAAGCTAAGAATAATTCCAGGGGAACAAAGAAGTACTCGCGTGCTCTCTCTTCCTCTTCCTCTTCCTCATGACTTGTGCTTGCTGCATTAGTTGCAAGGTTCTCTCACCCAGGAGCTTGCGACTACGTGGCCACTGGCCCGCAGCAGATGCCCTGGGCTGCAGAAGGGCTCAGCTTCACTGTGAAGCAGAAACTCCGGACGCCGGCCTTTGCCCTGGCCTTGCTGACTGCGGGCATGATTGGGCTTTTTCCATGGTGGGGTGGAGGGGCTTGGACATTGGCAGCCCGGGGACAGCCTTCCACACAAATAAACCCTTTTGCCACATCACACTGTGCCTGGTCCTTGGAAGTCCGTCCTCGCAATCCCACGCAAGGGCTTGGTTTCCACCAACAAAACTATTGAGAAAGCCAGACTAGTGGTTGCCAGAGGCTGGGGTGAGAGGAGGGAACTGATTCTAAGGGGCGTGCATGGGAAACTTTGCGAGGTGATGCGGACATTGTGTATCTCAACTGTAGTGCTGTTTGTTTTACATGCTTGTCAAAACTCATCAAACTATCCTTTAGACATGTGAATTCTAGTGTGTAAAAGTTATACCTCACTTAAAAATAAATTTAGCAACACTTCTGAATAAACGATCAATATGCTGAGAAAACTATTTCTCTATACAGCAACACCTAGAAAATGAAATAAAAATACCATTACAACAGCATCAGTAAGAAACAAATTACCTAGGAACATATTTAATGGGTGCACCCATCTCTACACAGAAATGAGAAACATTACTAAAAATAACTTAGATCTAAACAAATGAGAGATACAGCAAGTTCATTGATTGGAAGACTAAAGGTACGAACAAATCTGCTCACCCAACTCCAAATTGATCTGTAGATTCGATGTAATGTCAAACCATACACTGGCAAGTTTCGCCTTTTAATGAAATTGAGAAGCCAATTTTCCAAGCTCTGCGGCAACCCAGAATGGGAGAGGAGCGTGGACGCCCTGGAGAGACAAGGCAGGGGCTCCCGCTCCCAGACTCGATGTCTGTGACAAAGCCACAGCGATTTAATGGGTCTGACGTTGGCTCCACGGACAAAAACACTCACCCTCATAACAGTGCCTGGTTTATGACGAAGGCGATACTGAAAGACGCCGATAAACAGATAACGCTGGGCTGATTTGACAACTGAGCTAAAACAACAGAAACTGGAAGAAAACAAAGGAACTGCCGTCATGACCTTGGGATAGGCAAGGATCTATCCAACGGGGCATAAAACAGCAGAACTACATCAAAGATTAGATTTCATTAAATAGGAACCGCTGTGAAAACATATGAAAACATACCATCGTGAGTGAGGAGACAAAGCACACAATCTGAGAAGCTATTTGCGTGATATCTGTTATGAAAAGGACCTATGTCCAAAATGTAAAAGAATTTCTAAAAAAAACAAGAAATCAAGGGGGAACAGGACAAATTTCTCCACAAGACAGGACATAAAAATAGACAAGAGTCTTATGTAAGGTGCCTAATTTCATCAGTCACGTCAAAAATGCACATTCAAACCTCAGTACAAGTGTACAACCGAACAGAATTACGAAGAGAAAGAACCGAACGATACGCAGTGATGAAACGTTCGCAGAGGCGTCGCAACCGAGGCTCTCGTCTGCCTGGTGGGACTGAAGCTGATGCAGACCCTGGGAAAACCGGCGTTTCTACTGACGCTCATCATAATCACATCCTACGACCCAGTCATTTCACTCATATTATTGGAGATAAATGTATACTGTGGGCACCAAAAATAGGTCCAAAAATGTTGCCTGCAGTATTAAGAGCTGAAAACTGGAAACAATCCCAATGTTCACTAGTAGTAACAGATTTTTGAACATATTCACACTGTGGAATTCTGTACAATTTTGAAAGGACAAACAATACTATACAGTAATGGAAAGGGGCAAATCACTGTTACACAGTGTGGGTGAATTTCACAAACTTAAGATGAAGAAGTCAGCACAAAAGGGCATATTGCTTGATTCCATTCCTAATAAGTTTAAAATAGCCAGTGCTTACCTACGGCGATGAAAGCCAGAGCAGGCGTCTTTGTTGTTGGGGGCAGTGTCTGGGAGGGGCAGTGTCTGGGAGGGGCAGTGTCTGGGAGGGGCAGGGGAGTTTTCCACTGTGGCTGTGGCCTGCATCCAGAGTGCATCCACGTTGGGGTTGTGGGTCAACAGGTATGCTCAATTTATAAAAACTTACTGGACAGCAGCTTAGGATTTCTGTGCCTTTCTGTGCATGTGTTCTCGTTCACTGTAAGGTCACAAACAAAGCAAGAGTACCGGACACTCGTTAAAAGTGTAGCATCAGTTTTGGGGGGACATACCATTGTATCAGTTTTCACACATGGAGACCAAGAATAGGTGAAAGCTGTAAATACATAGGGGGCTTCTAAATGTTAAATATTTATTTTTAAAGAAATATTCTCAGAACTTAGCTAAATTTTGCCAGTGTGGTAAAGACAATGTGTATTTAAGACTAGAAACCTATCTTGGCTATTGTAAACAATACTGCAGTGAATTACTGGCTTGCATTTCTTTGGGTATACAGCCAGAGTTGAAATCGCTGGGCCGTAACAGTTCCGTTTTAATTTCGTTAGGAGCCTCCGCAGTTTTCCACAGCGGCTGCGCCCGTCTGCACGCCCACAAACCCGTGCACGAGGGTTCCCATCACCAATCCTCTCCACTTGTTGGTTTATTGATGACGGCCATTCCGACAGGTGAGTCATTGTGCGTTAACTCACATTTCTCTGACGATTGGTGACCTTGAGCGTGTTTTCATGTCTATGGGCCCTCTGTACATCCTCCGCCTACTTTTTACCTGTTTTTTTTTGGGAGGGGGGGGCATGTGTTTTTTGGGTTTTTTTGGTGTTGAGTTGTACCAGTGTCCATCAATAGACAAGTGGATAGAAGTTGAGGCCCATGTATACAATGGAATACTACTTGGCCATAAAAAAGAATGAAATCTTACCCTTGGGACCTAGAGGTCATTGTGCTGAGTGAAATCAGACAGAGAAAGACGGATGCCATGTGATTCCACTTATATGTGGACTCTGAAGAACGAAATAAAGTAGCAAACAAAATGGAAATAGATTCGTAGACACAGAGAACAGAGAACGGGGGGGGGGCTGCAGGGCTGGGCAAAAAAGATGAAGGGATTGAGAAGTGCAAAGCTACCAGTTTAGTCACCAAAACAGTCACAGGGATGTCGTGTGCAGCACGGGAAACAGAGTCGATGATGATACTGTAATAACTGAGTGGTGTCTGGTGTGTACCTGAAATACCAGGCAAATCACTTCATAAAACATGAGTCTAACCCCTGTGCTGTCCACCTGCCACTAATTCAAAATAATACTGAATGCAAATTGTAACTGAAAATAAAACTAAAAAAAGGTAGAGACCTGAACACACAGTAAATTCCAAATGACTCTATTTCAATTTGGCTAATTTAAATTTGACTTATAGTAAGACAGGCCAAGCAGAGACCACCTCTTAGAAATAAGATTAGTGCATACATTTGCATAATGACTGAAATTTTCCCAGAAATTCAGGGATCTAAGCCTTCAGTGTGTATCTCACTATTATTAGTTGGAATCCTTCCAACTACTAGGGCAAAGGAGTGAAAACATGAATCACTGCCAAGTTCTCACAGCATATTCCTTTGGACCACCAGCTAGAAAAGCCTGTGTGTATTTAGTCAAACGGCCTGTTTTAAAATTCTTCTATGTAAATCACCCATTTGTGTTTAAACATCATTAAAAACTTTTAGAATAAGGTTTCTATTAATGCAATACATTTATAAAGAATATAAGGTAATTACTGCAGAACCCTGTAATGATAAAATTACCTAACAGAAAATATTGTGATGGCCTTTATAGAAACCTCTCTTTAGGGTAGTAACAGAAAATATACACACGCACGAAGAAGTGACTCAAGTTTACTGAGCGAACAGTACACAGGAATTTATTTGAAAAATGAACGACCACATTTGTAGTAAAACTCCAAAATTAGAAATGCTAGATGGCCGCAGCACTCTGATGTCAGGGAGCATCTGTGCACAGTGCACGGGGCCCCTGCAGTTTCGAACGCACGACACCCCCCCACGGCGAGACGCCGTGCGCTGTATGAGTCAGGAGACACAGAGAGACTCAGGCAGGAGCTTTCGGAAGATGTACAGGCCAGATCTTTTTTCCTACCTACCTCTGGAAAGTTATCTCTCTCTCTCTCTCTTTTTTTTTTTTTTTTTTGTAAAATGGTTCCAAATTCATGTGCTCGGTACTTATTTAAAATAAGTTATAATAGGAAACTGTTAGTCGTTTTACTATAAGCATGGCATGCATGTTCTGTTGGTTCAAGAACAAAATTAAAACAAGATATCCTCTGTAAAGCAAATATATTTATTATGCACTTTCATATACATAGGGATTTTTGCTTAATATAATACAAGGAATAAAATAAAACTTTTACAATGTGAAGTTCAATGTACACTTTAGGCTATTTACATACCCCAAACCAACGCAGAAGTAAAACAAAGTACTTGTTGGCATCTACCTTTGCTGAGACGTGTAAATACACGGAGGGCACGAAGCAAAACAAACATTTGCATAGCCAGACGATGCTGAGAAAAGGGTGCACTCCTGCGTTTCCAGAAGGAATTCTTTTTGGTGAAGGTTCTCGCAGGGGTGGGACCAACGAGGACGAGAGACCGAACGCCGCTGCACTGTGCAGAACACACTGCGCTCTGGGCGGACCTCCCTACGGGCACTGAGATTTTTACTCTTCATCACTGTACTTCCTATCGCTCCCGGTCTGTCAACTCACGACTTTCAGGGACAGACAGAGATGGAAGATGACAAACACGTTAAAAGTACATGGCATCACAGGCCTGTAGTGGCGTCAGGTGACTTACAAAATTTAACCAGTTTGATCTTGAACATAGCTCTTTAGGAGTTACATTTGGAGGACTATTTTTACTCTCCTTAATGGGTTAAAATCCATTTTCACTCATGGTATTAAATCCCCCACAGAAAGAAATCAGCAAAGTAGGGCATCTTGCTTCCCCACCATCCTTAGCCTAACTAAAAGCCATTTTTGGTTCTATTCCAAAACATAATATAAAAACACTCAGAGGAATACTTACATTTGAAAGTCTTATTTTTCCAGCAGGTTCTCTTCCTACCAACGTTTCAAGTCTTTATCATGTGAATATGAAAACATTTAGCTGTTTGAAAAACATAAATCCCTTCTGTAATGAGTCATTTCTTTGCCCTTTGGCCACAAGGTGCATTTTTGTAAAAGCAAACAATAAAATTAAATAAATACAATTCCAATAATTCAAGGTTAATAAAAAAACTGGCAGCTTTCAGGGTTCTCTAAAAAAAATACACCTAGTAAGAAATTAGAGCTTCATCTTCTGCAGCAATGGAAATGGACTACGGCTGAGACATGAGCAAGGTTGGTTCTCAAAACAGTATGTGTTCATATGTATTAAAAGAATCGTTAACACTTTTAAGGCTACTTTGTAAGAGTCCTATTAAGTGTATTAATAAATGTCCCATAGGGACAAAAATTCAATACTTGAAACATTCACATTCGAGTTCTCCATATCGCCATGTCACCTAAATAGCGACTGAACTTGTTACGGCACCTTCTACTCCTGACTCTGGCTTGGTGACATAAAGATGAGTTTGGCTGACTCTGAACAACAGAAGCAAAATGAAAAGCCCTGTAGAAGATCCACGTGAAACAATGACCACAACCAAGCACACGCTTCTGCTTCTGTGAACAGCGCGTCTAGTGTAGCTCCTTCACGCAGGATGACGTTTCTGACCTCGGGTACCTGCATTTTCTAAAGATTCTCTTCTAGTAGCAATGGCTTTGTGCTGAATCTCCACATTCTCTTTCCTCATTCCTCCTTCTTACCAACAGTATACGGGAAGAATAGAATTTCTGGATTTTGTAAGGTTTTCGGGACTCCTGAAAAGATCAAACACAAGCCCTTGGCTTTTAAATGCAGTCGCGCCTTCCCAGACACGTGCACGCCCACCGCAGGCGGCCCGCACGCTGCCCAGAGCCAGTCGGCTTGGTTTTCCGTGGTCACGGACCTCACCCTCGACCCTGGCAGTCATCCCGGAGGCAGTTGTCCGAGGAAGAAAACAGGAAAGAGTATGTGGACAAAGCTTAGTGTTTATCAAATGCCCCCAAGCCCCCACAGATGTGCTATGACCGACAGGTTAGTGCTGTCACCCGTGAAGGACAGTGCTTACCACACTCATCAAGAACGTCCATCCCACTAACCACTGGAACGGACTCAACTGATTTTCAGTGGGGACTTATTTTCAACATGCAGTGATTTGCAAAATAGAAGCAACTGAGAGAGAAGCCAGCATGAAAACTGACTATGGTAAATTAGTGTACTCAATTCGACGGAAGAGATGAGGGCCGTCGATGAATTGTTTGGGGATCAATAACCCACCCTCACAGACTCCTGGACCGCCCTCTCCACACGCACCCGAGGCCTGGCTCTGTCCCGGGGACTTCCCGGCCTCGGGGGCCACTGACCGTCTTCTGGGGGGGTGGAATGACAAGTGAGGGGAGGGTGAGCTCACACCCCGGTGAGTGAAACAGGACTCCCCTCTGCCCTTTGTTCCTTTTTCCTGTCTGACACTGTCAGAGACCAGGAGGGTCCTACTGGGAAATCCAAATTTCAACTACTTAGAATAGCTCCCTAAAAGACTAGAAATTGTTTTTAAATCTATGAAGAAACCATTTTCTTCACCTCAATGTGGCATTAAACAGAAACTCATTTTAACTGATGCTGAAGGTGTAGCAAGTATAAATATTTGCACGATTTATTTTATTGAGTGACATTTTTAAAGATACAAGAAACAAGCCATACACTACAGCAATGCGGATGTGACGGAAACAGTAGGCTTAAGACTCGTTTGCCACAAAAAGAAAAAAATAAATACAAGGAACACTGCCTTTTCATATATATTTGATCATGGCACATGCACATTTATCAAATCTTAACTTAAAATACTTAGAGTTTTTTCAGCTTTCATCAGGGCACTGCAGTATACATCTGCATTTTAAAAAGTGCTTATTCTTGTGGAGTGAATGAATACAAAGCACACGAAATGGAGTTTCCGAAGCACGAGGGGGTCACACTGAGAGCACAGCCCACTCGGCAGGCACAGGGCAGCACTCGAGGGGCCGGGCCACCCCCTGCGGCCGCACACTCCCCGCCTCCTCCCGCGGCAGCGGGCGCTGGGTTCTCATCCGGCAGCCGGGGAGCCGCCCCAATCAGCACGTCTTCCGTTCCACAGGACGGGGAACTAGTGCAGAAGTTAAAGATATATATACACACACGTATGAATTTCTACATTGTACTTACTGTGTAACTACTACAGTTTTAAGCCCACACATAAGAATATACATACTTACTGTGTAAAGCACAAAGTAGACATAAGAGATCCATTCTTTAACTTAAAAGGCACTTTTAAAGGGTCCCCAAAATGCTAGCTTAACTCATGTGTTCTGCTGTGTAGTACACAGTTTTACTCGCCTTTACAAAAGATGTCATGAGTTGGGGAGTGATGGCTTAGAACAAATATTTTTAAAGTAAATCACATTGGCGAATGAACTGACAACTACACACACATTATTTTTGAATGGGATTTGGCCACACTGAAGGCATCTGTTAGCAAAAGGTACAGGAAATTATTTGTGCTAACGTGCCACCTAAAATAGGTCTCCAAAGACAGAAGAAGCGTTAAGAAGGAGCTTTCTGTTTGCCAGAAGAGTACAATTTTATTACAGGATAAAACTGATTAAGCAAAGTGGGGTAAACATACTTGTAGAAGTCAAGAAAGATTGGTAATGAGATATTTATTGCCAATATCAGAAATGTGCTTCTAAAAAGAGTATAGATAATACAACATGCTGTATCTATTTTCCCATTCACTTCCCCTATATAATTAATGAAACATCCACTGAGGTGTTATTTAATAAATATAACTTTATTTTTTGAGGTTTTAACACTTAATTCTTATGTCTAAATATAATGGCCCCTAAAAACTCTCTTGCCAACAATCCATACATTCACCACCTTTCCACACCTGTGCTTGGTAAGTGCAAAGTTTACTTAGAAGAGCCTTAAGAATCTGTCGTACAAAAAACTACCTTTTTCTAATTAAGTCTTGGACTTCTAGGGTGAAAAGTTAGGAAGTTAACATGTACTGTCATCTACTCAGCACCTACATACATACACTATGTTATTCAAACCGAAAAGTATTACAGAAACAGCTCCTCCCTCTGTTATCATCAAAGAACTTTTAAGAGGGAAAATGACTATATAGAAAGAGTTCTCACTCTGAGACCCATAAATAGTATATTCATTCATTCATTTGTTCATTCACTTAACACATTTTTACTGAGGAACTACTATAGGACCAAGCGGTATCCCAAGTATGTGGAGCGAACAAAACAGATGAAACTCCCTACCCTCACGAAGATTCCATGTAAGTTGGAAGGGGGCAAATAATAAACATAATAAATAAAACATATAACGTATGTGAAATCATCGGTACCCTGGACAACAAGAGCAGAATGGGGGGAAGGGTCGCACTCGAGGTCCGATTCCTGAGAGGGAACCGGACTGCGGCGCTCGACTCCATGCTGCCCGGACGTTACCTGTTATAGTGGCGTTTCCTTTTTATAGTTGAAGCTAGGGTCAGCACCATCGATCTGAAGCTTCAGGGCTTGTTTAAGGCTTAATTCGGTCTCTGAGGAAGGGTACCCTTCCAGCACCTCCTGATGCCCTCTGTCTTGCACTGTTCGTGGGACTGAAACTCTGCCGAGAAACACCTGGTTGCTCTGGAGGTGGTAATTTGGATTTGTCATTATTCCATTTCTCTTCTTCTGTTCCCCACTGTGTTGGTGAATGAGAAATGGCTGCTGGGACCGCCCGATGTCCTGCTGAGCGGATGGCACTGGGATCTTGCACTGAGGTTCCACGGGCGTCTGCTTAGGGGGTGCATTGGGCCCGGACTTGGCCACAGGCCCTCTCGCGTCCAGCTGAGTCATTTCATATTCTAGGACCTTTGGCTGTGAAGAACTGTTGTGTTTAGCTTTTTTCCCAGCTGACCCAGACTTGCTGGAATTTTCTGATTTCCCCCCTTTATTCGTTTTAGTTGATTTCAAACTGGGTTTTACTTGACTCCACTCAAATTCACTACCTGGGGAATGGTGGCTCTGTCCCAGGGACTGTGTCGTGGAAGACGGGGACACGATGGACTGTCGACTTCTACTGCGGGGCAGTGAGTGCTGCTGGATCTGTTCGGTAAAGGACAAATTATGGAAGCTGTCAATCGGCACAGTTTGAGCCGTCGCTGTGGACGAAGTCGTTCTCAAAGAGGAGTTTTTTGAACTTTTCAGGGAATTATTCGACAGTGAGGACTTCTGCCGATCAACCGTAGAGTCTGGAGATTCGGAAGGAGAGCTGAAGGCATGCGCCGGCCCGTTCGGTAAACCACGCAGTGGGGGCTGCACGTCCCCCGCACCAGTACTGCCAGAGCTGTTTGACTTGATTGTTAACGACTGCATTTTTGAAGACACTGACTGAAGAGGCTTTTGCTCCATCGTGTGAACAGGAGATGGGGAACAGCCGTTCAAACTAGATGCACCATATTTTTCTAATAATTTAATGATCTGAGAGTGTCCGTTTTTGGCTGCGACACGCATGGCAGTGCGTCCAAACTGGTCTGCGTGGTTTGGGTCCGCGCCGTGCTCCAGGAGAACCTGCACGACGTCAATGTGCCCTTCCTGGGCCGCGATGCAGAGTGCGGTCGCGCCCTGGTTGCAGGTGTGGTCCACCACGGCCCCGCGCTCAATCAGCAGCTGCACCACTTTCACGTGGCCCTGCCAGGCTGCGGACTGCAGAGCAGACCGCTGTTCGTTGTCCGCGGCGTTGACGTCGGCGTGGTAGGTGACCAGCACCTGCACCATCTCCAGGTGGCCCTGCCAGCAGGAAACGTGAAGGGCCGTCCTTCCTTCTGCATCACTTGTTTCTACATTTGCACCATTTTCTAAAAAGTACTCAGCCATTGTCAGCTGGTTTTCTAAGGCCAAAATGTAAAGGGTAGGCCTGCCATCAGCATCTTTGTAGTTAACGTCAGCTCCATGGCTAAAAAGCAGTTCGACGATGTCCCTGTGCCCTTCTAAGGCGGCGACCCGCAGTGCATTTCTACCGTCATAACCTCTCTGATCAACGTTGGACTTATTCTCTAACAACATCTGGACACAGTCATAGTGACCCTCTTGCGCAGCTAATATGAAAGGTATTCGTCCATCATTATCGATCTCATTTGTTCTAGCACCCTGTTCGATAAGTGCTTCACATATTAACCTGTGACCTTCAAAAGCTGCCATGTGCAAAGGCGTCCATCCAGCGTCGTCTCTGTGGTTTTCGTCCAGCCCTCTGTCCAGCAGAGTACGCACCACCTCGACGTTCCCTTGGGCTGAGGCTATGCTGAGGACCGTCCTGCCCTCGCTGTCGATGCTATCCACGGCCGCACCCCAAAACAACAGTGTGTTCACCACCGAGGCGTGGCCCATGGACGCTGCAGCCAAGAGGGGTGTGCGACCGTTGTTGTCGGTGTGGTCCACGTCTGCGCCCCCCTCCAGAAGCAAATCGACCACGTCCACGTGTCCTTCGTAGGCGGCCACCAGCAGAGGAGTCATGCCATCTTTGTCACAGTGATCCACTTCAGCACCCCGATCAATCAGAAGGCTGACGACTGAAGCGTGACCCTTGCTGGCGGGCACGCAGAGTGCGGCCACGGAGAGTGCAGTCCTGCCGTCCACGTCCTCGTGGTTCACCTCCGCCCCGTGGTCCAGGAGGTGCTCCACGATCTCTCTGTGCCCCATGTACGCCGCTGCGATCAGGGCGGTCCTGCCCTCGTTGTCAGCCTTGTTGACCTCGGCGCCATGCTGCAGCAGGTTCAGCACGATGTCCTCGTGTCCACCCCAGGCGGCCGCCCTCAGAGCTGTCCGGCTGTCGGCGTCTGCACAGTCCACCTTGACGCCGGCGTACAGTAGCGCCGAGACCACCTCCGTGTGACCGCCCCAGGCGGCAGACCTCAATGCCGTCCAGCCGTCCTGATCAGTGTGGTTGATGTTCGCGCCACACCCAATCAGGCAGTTCACCACCTTGGTGTGTCCCTGCCTGGCGGCGAGGGTGAGCGGCGTGTGTCCGTGAGCATCTTCGACCTCTAGGTCTGCTCCCCTGGAGACCAGCAAGTTCACCACGTCCAGGTTGCCGCTGTACGCAGCATTAGCCAGTAACGTCCTCCCGTTGGAGTCACACTGGTTCACGGAGGCACCGTTGTCGAGCAGGGTCCGAATGGAGTCCTCGCGTTCCAGGGCCTGGCGGACAATGCAGGAGGCGCGGTCGTCCTCGCTGTTCACGTGCGCGCCCGCCTTGACCAGCAGCTGCAGCACTTCCTGCTCCTTGGGTATGGAGGTCGACAGGGAGTCTCTGACGGGTGTGCCGTTCCATATCATCCACAGCGCTAACTCGGCGGGCTCCAACTGCAGGTTTGAGTTAATCAAGTGCAACGCAAACTCCTGTGCTTCCAGTGGCGTTAAGTCCTTGGCTTGACAGGTGTAGCTCATAGCCAGCATCCTGTGTCCCTCTGCTGCGTTACACAAATACTTCTGAGTGCAGTGCTTCACGTCCAGAAGCCACTCTGCAAAGCTATAGTGAAACAGGATTTTAGTGTTTCCCAGTCCATCAACAAGGAGTTTGGAGAGGACGTCTAGCTTGCGCTGGAAATCTTCCAGGGTTAACGACATGTTTTTGGTCCACACTGCATGATATAATTCCGTTATGGTCAAAGGTCGGCAGGCTGCGAGGATCACATTCAGAATAGGCTGAACCTTTGCAAACTGCTTTCTCACAAACAGTCTCTGACACAGCCAGAGATACAGCCCGTTTAGAGTTCCGGGGATGTCGCGGATCTCTCGCAACATAATAAAATTTTCCACAACTCCGTCTAGAACTCGCTCCAGATACAGGAAGCACCCGCTGCTTTTAATGTGCAGCTGATTTAACATCTCCGCGGTTTCCTTCGTGAGGTGTTGTCGCAAAGCTTCTTCTTGATCCAAACGGTGAAGGATGTACTGCTGAACGTCCTTAACAATGTAGGCCTTCCGAAGGTCATCTAGACTTATTTTTCGGAAACCTAAAGAGACAAAAAGTAGATGTCATCCTTTGAAAACGATGATGGAAGTTGCCATACACTCAGAACGCCTTCAATATGCACTCAACCAGTAAGCAAAAAAGTCAATAATAGATCAACCAACACTAATAAATCGATACCTGTTGGTATATAAATCAGTTTTATTTTCCTTTTATTAGAGCACAATGATGGCAGATAAACGGTTTCGTTTCCCAGCCCACAAACGGCGCCCACTCTGGTGGCTCTGTGCTGCCCTCGACCTCAGGGGTGAGTGCTGGGCGGTTCTACACACATGTGCAAACACACACGTCACCATTTTCAGAGCTCGCAACTGATTAGGAAAAAGAGTTGCAAGAAACACAACAAGTAAAATTTGTTTGTTTTTACAGCTGATATTTTTCATATGAAAAATCTATGTATTTCCATCCCTATAACTAAATGTATACCAGCTTTAATGAGGGGACTGCATATTCATATCCAATTAGAATATCACCTGTCACAGCCTTTGAATAACATCATTTTACATGCTATTAAATTTAAATAATTAAACATCAGACTGTCACCTTAAGATGCGACTTGGTCAGATTATGCTGACAAAACTTCAGCATTGTAAAAATAAAGCCACTTAATATAATCCAAACATGAAAACATACTAGATAAAGCTATGTGAGACTCACTTTTAAGTTCTTCAAAGGGAACTGTAATTTCATTTCCTAAAGGGAAGAGGTGTCCTGATTTATAGGGATGAATTTATTAGGCAGGTGTGTTTTCATCTTACAGAAGAAAAAACTATTGGACTTCCTTAAGAGACATTACTCAAGAAAGTCAGCAAAGATTAGTAAGGGTCAATTAATACTGAGTGAAATACTCATACCCAACTCAGTAAAACAAACATATGTACCCAGGGTCCAGCACAAATAATGCCCCTTTTTCATTACAAAATCTTTTATTACAAAGTTAGAAGCATGTAATTCTGTAACACACTCTAGTGTGACAATGTCACACTCTAGCACACCATAATGACATTTTAAGTGAAATGTTCAAATTAAGACTATAAATTATTACACCATATTATTGCCCTACCACCACACTCAAGCAGACCTCACTTCTGCCGGACCCTGTACGTCACCTACTGTACGCCGGGTGCTCTGTGGGAAGATGACACTTTCATCTTGTGATGACCCATCGGTGTGGAGTAGGTGACCAGGCTCGCACTGTGGAGGACGGGCTCAAGGCCACTGAAGAGCTGGGGTCAAACTGGGGGCAGGACTTCTCTGAAGAGCCTGTGAGCCAGTCGGGGTCAGAGTCGCTAAGGGCCTGGACCGCCGCCGCAGCAGCACAGAAAAAGTAAAACGCGGGTTTGGGGATTGTTAGAAAGGGCTGGAGGGCACGGAGTGGCGGAGTCTGGAGGAGGAGGGAGAGGCGCGGTCGAAGCTGACAGTAACCCCTGGCTTCATGGCACGGGATGGAAACCGTCCCTGAAGGATAACGGGTCCGGAGAGAAAGCTGGTACATTCAGTCTTGTGATAGTAAGCTTGAAGCACTTACATGAAATAGGTAAATTTATTGAAAATACAACCTACCAGAACAACATATAAAGAAATAACAAATGAATCTATACAAAAGTGGAATCTGTAATTATACATATACATACATGCAACTGATTATTAATTAATTATACAGATAACAGACGATTTTCAGTAGAATTAATTCCAAAAGATAAGTTTTAATGATTAAAAGACATTCTTGATCTAAGGAAGTTTAAAACATTCACAGAAATTTATATCACTCTACATTTACCAATGACAATCAGATACAATAACTTGCCTCAAAACCTTTTTCTGTGTGTTCATTTGCTCTTGGATTTATGAAGTAATTAAAACAATTTAAGTTGGGAAACACCTGGAATGTTGTTAATAAAAAACATTCTTAAAAAAGTAACTAGCTTACATATTATTACAGTGTTTCCAAGTTTCCAAAATGATCTTGTAGATACTGATTTATTTACATGAAAGGTTATAGTACCTATTATGAATAAATATCTATTAATTTAAACCTACTTAACTAAGATATCGTGACTGAAACTTGAGATAATTAAGACAGAATCAAGGCTAAACCTCTGTAGCAACAGGTTCAGTTCCCAAGAAACAAAAGAGATCAATTTTTCAGTCAATAGTTTAAAGGCAGCACTTCAAGTACTTATCATACCTGACTCCTTTTCATGTCACACCTGTGAGATGAGTTTCTGCACTTTAAAAATGAAGAATGAAGAAGCTAAAGCTCAGCAAAGTCAGTATAACTGCCCAGAGTAGCTGGGCTGGCAAACCACTGACCAAGGATTCTGACTGTTCGGACGTTGCTCTTTTCGTTAAGATGAGAATGAGCGGGGAAAGTTGAGAAAGACAATGCAAGTACCCGACAGGGAGTGAGGGCTGGCAGGCAAGGCCACGGGACTGATTCTAAGCGAAAGGAGAGAAACTTTCAGAAAGTACAGGCATAAAATGCTCACAATTAAAAGAACAAAGAGCTTCCAAATCTAAATATGCTTAGCTGCATGAATTTAGATAGACTCAATTAGTGTTCATCATTCATGATAATTATGTTCCTTAATATAGAACTAAGAATATTTATTAATCAACAATTTGAATATCTTGAGTTAAAGTTGCTGAAAATAATTGCCTTTTTTGGAGTGTAACTTCTACCCATTTTACATGTAATTCCTTTCTCATGAACAGGCACCATTTAATATACTGCTATCAAAGCACTTTGAAATGTTTTTATAAGGCTGAAAAATGTTCAAAAGTTTTAGGGGAAGATACACGATTAACTTAAATATTGGACCGCTTTTGTGTTCTTCCTTAAAACACTTATCAGGACGCGCGACTCCTCAATGCTGGAGACAGCAGAGGGACGGGAGCCAGGACCGGGGCTGTCTGTTCAAACTGACGCTCACGGAGTCGTTTACTGCCCTGAAGACTGTGGGGACGAGAGGATGGGAAACCCCAGGAGCACAGAGCAGGAGAGCTGGGTGAATTCCGGGGTACTGACGGACTGACAAGTTGTGTGTCCGTTGAAACAGACACCAAGAAGACAACACCGCGACACTGAAAGATCTACGGATGTTAAACTGACAACGCAGAAGTGAGTGACATCAAGCACCATCTCAACTAGGGGGATAACACACACAGAACTCAATCCAGAGTGTTCGAGAGTGCTTATTACTGCATCTCGGAGTGATGTGCTATTTCAGTATGTTGTCGTCTAAAACACTGGCCATATATACACAGCATGTATTACTTTTGAATCAGGTAAAATAAATATGTATAAAGATATTCAAAAGTCTTTGAGGTTTAATTTTTCATACATAAAATGCTTCCCAATGGGCTCCTGTCCCCAAACAAGTGTTGGCAGCTGGCAGCCAATGACGACATCTTCTTGTGTGGTCAGAATCCTGCTTAGCACCGAATGGGTTGTTCCTGAGACTCATCTGACGCTGTTGACAGGAATGCTGTGGGTCAGTGTATACAGTCTGTACCTGAGGCAACGCAGCTCTTTACAAATGGTAAATGCTCAGACCTGAGTAGATGAAACCGATTCAGACACAGTAAAAACCTTAAAGTCACTGCCCTAGGGGTTACACACCTGACAATTTTAAGTTTGAATGCATAGATCTCAACCCAAAACCCACATATTTCAACTTAAAACACTAGCAAAAAAGCAGGAAGAGATGTGCAGGGCATATATAAGAACAACTGAAAAATCTAAGAAAAAAGTTCAATAAATGAAAAAATAAACCACGTTCATAGATGGAACAAAAGCATATACATATTTTTTTATCACCACCCGAGGACATTTTTTTCATCGCTTTTAGAAAGAGAAGCAACAGTTCGGAAGAGCGAGCAAGAGAGAGAAACATCGATTGGTTATACACACACCCTAACCAGGGCTCGAACCTGCAACCTAGGTAAGTGTCTGACTGAGAATGGAACCCTCGACCCTTCGGTCCACAGGACAACACTCCAACTAACTGAGCCACACCAGCCAGACCTAACATACTGGTATGTTTATGTTCAATTTTATTATTAAGAAAAAGCGTACAAATTAATTAGCTTTTACCACACTGCAAAGTGCACAGACCTACTTAAGACTGACATGGCTACTTAGTGAATAACTGAATTGTTTTCTCTCCAGTTAACTGTAAATCCTGTGAGTGGTCCTTGTTTATACTCCTTATATTTTATGAAGCACAGAGAATGCTTTACATAATCGAACAGGAGTAATCACAGCTATATTGTGTTAGTAACAAAAGTAAAACAGTTCAGTCAACAAAAAAACACCTGATCATGTACTTTTATACGTTATTTACATATGTTGTTCTTTCACATGTCGGGAAAGGGTTTAGAAAGGACCTATTTCAAGAGGCATCCCGCGAGGCTGGACACTGGCTCTCCTGCCCCACCCGGAGAGCCACCTTGCTGACTGCCCCTGGTGGTTTGAACAGTGCACTCACTCCTCCCAGGATGCTCCGTCCAGATGCACCAGGGGCTGGTGGTGATGTAACTGCACAATAAACGCACCCCCACAGGTAAACTGCAGCTACCACGAAACACCCCCGACATTTACGAAGGCAGTTGGGAGAACAACCTTGAAAAGGGTAACGCTAAAGGATCGGAAAACATTCTGCGGCTTATTTTCAGTACAACTTTTAAAAAGTACTGCTGAGAACAGCTGACGGGAGCAACCCCAGATTTCCCGCTGCACACTCCCCTCGAAGAAAGAACCACGCAGACCAGTTCGGCGACGAGCGCCATTGAGGACGGCAGTAAGGAGTCGTGCTTACCGGTAAACATCTTAGTAACAGCCTTGCTCTGCTTTCGGGCAGAGCAGAGAAGCAACAGCCACGGCGGGAAGAACTCGTGGTGACCGGCCAAGAGCTCCGCCACCGTCCCAGACAGGCTGGCGGACGTCTGTTCCCCTTCGGTGACGTTACAGCCTTCGTCAACAGAATCCACGAGCAGATAGAGGCTTTGCTGGGGCGGCTTCATTCCCAGCAGAGGGAGCAGGACACACCTGGAAGGCACATCCGCACAAGCGTGAGTGGCGTGGGCTCTGATGCAGACCTTTGTCATTCAAACAGGAGTCCTGCCCGTTGGGAACACGCTTAAGAGGTGAGTTCAGGTTTTAGCATAAACGCACTGTATAGATTTCGACTCCTTACTTTAAGGACAATGCCCTCACTTTAAGGAGAAATCCCTCACTTTACTTTTCTCTGAAATAGTGCGCGCTGCCAGTAACATTTTCCACAACCGACCGTGTGAGTGTGTGTGTGTTCAGGAATTCAGCACGCGTGAGGAAGAGCAGTGGGAATGGGAGGAAACAGTACTTCAATTTTCTCTAACCTTCTGAATTGGCCCAAAGCTTGAACTTTGAACTGTTCATAACAAAGCCAGAGTGTATTGCAAAGGGGGGGGAAACAAATTTGGGGACCACGTTAATAATAAGGACAATGGCAAAGACTCTAGAGAAGTCAGAAGTGTTTTATCACAGTCTCTCTTACCAGACGACTGTACTGCATGCGGCTTGTCCCACAGATTTCACCTGGACCGACTGCAGAGCGAAACTGCAGGCTGGGTCCCATTAGACGTATTTTCACATTCCAGTGCAGAGAATAAATTACTGGGTATCATCCCACTGAGTATATTCCCTACTCATATCATTTATATTGCAGCTGAACACACCATTTTCATAACTTAAGTGGTGCTCATTCATTGTCAACAAACACTTACTCCCCATGTGCCACGTGCCGAGCGAGGCGCTGAAACAGACCGACGGCACTGAGGAGGGCGCCACCCACCTAGTGGGGACCACGTCCAGGCGACCCTGTCCACCACCCTGCTCCTCACTGTTCAGTCCCACGGCTCCCTGAGCCGCTCTAGTGGTGCGTCTGGTCACCACGTCTTTGTGAAAGTCTCTCAAACCCATCCTGGCCTGCAACATCACAGCCCCAGGCCAGCGACTCCGACCTCTTTCGCCTCATGGCACGTACACCAATTACTACAATTCTGTGGCACACCAAAAAAACTTTTTTGGCCAAGGTGACAAAGTAATAGGTGTGGTTTTGATTCACTCGCACTGGACGGCTGCTGTTGTGCTGGCTGCTGCCACTGTTCATCTGACAGTCAGAGGGAAGAGGTCAGTGCCCCGACTGAGCAGTCAGGTGCTGCACGCCTTGAACGTTCCCGCGGCGGGCTGGTTGTACTTCGCTGCCCCAGTCCAAACTACCGTCGCCTCTGCCACCTGGGCTTCGGTAACAGCCACACGCCTCCCTGAGCCCCCCTCCGGAGTGCCCGCTGCATCTGGCCAGACAACTTCTCAAAATGTCCCTCCGGCCACAGCAGCCTTCTTTCAATGACTTTAATTAGACACGATTATACAAGGGCCTTTTCATTTAGTTTCCTCTGCCTGGTATTGCTTCCCTTCTCTCATGTAATTAACTCATTAGGAAAATGCAAATTAAAACCACAGGAAGATACCACCAGACACCTAGTGGGATTGCTGAGATAAATGAAAGCCCTGAGAACACCAAGGGCTGTCACCGATGTGGCACAGTGACACAGCCACGTCCAAACAGCCAGTTGGAAGAGTTTGGCAGTTCCTTAAGAAGTTGAATGCACACCTACCCCGTGGCCCAGCAACCCTTTCTAGGCACCGACCTAAGTGAGGTGAGACTTCTGGCAACACAACAACCTGCAGGTGAAGGTTCATAGAAACTTCATTCACAAACCTGCAATACACCAGCAGTCAACACCCCCGATTCCCATCTCCTGGACGGCACTATAACCATTCAAGCTGCTTCGTTTCTAGAAGTTGGTCGCAAACCAAAACTCTCAAGTACTAAGCACTCCAAATTGGACACCGAGATACTGATCTGAAAGTGACCGAACTGTCTTCGCTATGTCACCGCAGCTTGGCTTTCTGATGCTAGGGGATTCGTGAGCAGGATGCAATGCCTCCGTATTCTATATGAAATATGTACACAATGTGTATTAGCTTATTTTCCTTTGGAAACCAAATATTTAAAATATAAAAGTGGGAAACACACGGGCGCCCTCGCACGTACTGAGTGCTTACGAGGAGGAAGCGCCGGGCTGGGGAGTCCCTGTGGACGGGGTTCCTCACACAGCCCTGCAGCGCAGACACCGTCAGCATCTCCGTGCGGAAGATGCAGAAACGGCACGAGGAAAGCAGCCGGCACAGAGAAACCGGACGTCAGTGGCAGGAGAGGGAACGGAATCTGCTGTCTCAGAGTTCCTCTTCTTGTCTATGCTAAACTGCTTCTGAAAATATCAGAAACTAACGTGAAACCCTGAGGTCCAATTCAAACAAGAAAGTTCTTGGAACAACCTGACTAAATTAGCAAGTGGCTCACTTTTTAGCATCTAATTACCTGAAAAGGTTTTCATGGAAAAAAACAAAAGTACCACATTTTCGGACTATAAAGACGCATCTCCCCAAATTTGGGAGGAAAATGGGGGTGCAGCTCATAGTCCGAATGTAGCTTTACTTTTACATTGGTGAAATATTATGTTATTTATGTTATTAAATACTTAACTTTTTTTTGCTTCCAAATTTTTTTTTCCTGTTTTCCTCCAAAACCTAGGTGCATCTTATGGTTCGAAAAATACGCTATGTATTTTAGGGTCTTCTAACTGAATCTGCTACTCTTCAAATTTGACTTTCCTGAGAGTATTAAACACTCAGGTTTGTTTGGTAAAGATTCTGTACTAAAAGTCACTTGCCTTGCCCTGGCTGGTGGCTTGGTTGGTTGGAGCACGGTCGTGTTTACCAAAAGGTTGAGGGTTTGATTCCCGGTCAGGACACATAGCTAGATTGTGGGTTTGATCCTGGGTCAGGGTGCATACAGGCTTCTCTTTCTCCCCCACACCCCTTTCCCTTCCCCCTACCCCTGCCTCTTTCTCCCTCTCCCCTTCTTTAAAATCAATAAACATATCCTCAGGTGAGGATTAAAAAAAAAGTCACTTGTCTCAATACCAAAATCCCAGGAAATGAGTACATGGTGGGTGTACCTAATAGTTTTGCTACAGTGATTACGTGATTAGCGCCAAGGGTTACTGATGGCCCCCGACTTCCCTCTGCTGGGACCTGTGGCTGGCCGTCTCTGGCACACCACCACACCTCGGGACGTGAGGACTGCTTCCACGTGTGTCTGCTGTACTCCCTCACCCCACTGCACCGTGCCAGACACGGCAGAAGGGAGTGCTCACTGACCAGAAAAGTTCTGACCAGAAAATTAATGCTTTTCAGTGTAAGTATCTGTATTTTTCTACACTATCACCTACTCGGATAGTTAAGGAACTTTCAGAATTAAAATATATATAACATTACCAGATTACCCATGTCGAGTTTCTGGAGCCTGAAATCTCACTACTATCTGGTGAAATTTAAGATCAAAACCACCACAATCTAACCTCTACATAAGTCTATCTTAGATTCCACATCTAAGTGAGATGATAATGGTATTTGTCTTTCTCTGTATCACTTACTTCACTTGTCTAAATACTCTCTAAGCCCACGAACACCACAAATGGCTGGGTTACCCCCCCTTTAAAGATTTTATTTATTTTTAGAGGGGAAGGGAGGGAGAAAGGAAGGGAGAGAAGCATCAAATGTGTGGCTGCCTCTCCTGCACTCCCTACTGGGGACCTGGCCTGCAACCCAAGCATGTGCCCTGACTGGGAATCGACCCAGTGACCCTTTGGTTTGCAGGCTGGCCCTCAATCCACTGAGCCACACTGCCAGGGCTGGATTACCTTCTTTTTTATGTCTGAATAGTATTCCATTTCTATATATACCATAATTTCTATATCTATTCACCTGCCATGGACATAGGTTGTTTCCCTATTTTCCTTTCTTAGGAATAAAATTATCCATCCAATAAATTAAAGCACATAGTACAGAGGGTAAAAAAAATGAAAGTGTAATTATCACCACCAATAGGTTAAAAATCAAATATTATATATTTGTTCATTTTTTTAAATCTAGTAAGTAAAACTTATAATTAAAAACAGGTTACAAGTTTGGCCAATATGCAGGCTAAAATTTCTCTCTGAACTTTTGACCAAGATGTTGTAGTGACTTTATGCCTTTATGAACTATTTCCTCTTTGTTAAAATACAGCTGGGAAATATGGAATAAGAAAACAAAAAGAAAAATATCACCAGTCAAAAATAAAATAAACATTTAAAAGTGTAAGAAACAGAAAAGTAGCAGAATGCTAAAAATGAACCTCAAACTCTAGTCTGCCAAGGAAGCACACGCAGCAGAGCAGCGGCAGCAGCCTGGGGACCCGCTGGTGGAAGCACAGGGACCAGCCCCCACTCCTCGAACAGCAGGACTCACACTCTGGGTGGGAGACAAGGGGCCGAGGCGCTGGAGCGCTCACTGTCACCCAGTGAAAGGAGGAGAGAAAAGGCACCTCTGGCCCCCACGGAGGGTCAGGGCCTGTGGGCAGCAGCAGGGAGGACCCAAAGCCAGCCCCAATGGAGAAAGGAGCTGTGCGGGACAGATCACAGCTTAGGGACCAAATTTACAAATCGCCACGACCACCTTGGAGTAGGGGCTTCACACGGTCACCATCAACCCTCACTGAGACCACAAGGAGGGGGAGCGGTGCTAGAGGCAGAGCAGGGAGAGCACTGAAGAGGTCGGAATGGTGGGGAAATGAAGGGGAGAGAGAGAGACAAAGCTGCAGGCTCCTCCTGCCCCGGAGGCAGAGGCAGACCGCTGTCGGAATGTGCGCTCACGTCCAACCCATGACGGTGATTCGTAAAACTGCCAAAGGATGGAAAGGAAATGTATTTGTGCGGTACGGGCAAAAATGAAATTCATTCAAAATTATTTAACAAGCAAAGCAGCAAAGAACTAGGAAATCTTCCTCGCTGGGACTCCCACTGCCAGATGCAGTGGAGTGGGTGGCAGCAGCTGCAGAACTAGGCCCAGTGAGACCAGCCAGCGTGGAGTCCCCCTAGTCTACAGGTCAGAGACAAAAT